ATTATATGTCAGAGCATAGCTCGATAACATTAACCTGCATGAAGAGGTCTAGAGAATCCACCAAGTATGTATAACATATCCAAAGTTGTATGTTAGAGCACTACTCGATGACATTAACATATATAAAAGAGATTGAGAGAATCCACAAGGATGTATAACCTATCTGATGTTGCATGTCAGAGCACTGCTTGATGATGTTAAGCTATATAGAAGAGATCGAGAGAATCCATCTAGGATGTATGACTTATCCGAGGTTGTATATCAGAGCACTGTTCGATGACATTAATATGTATAAAAGAGGTCGAGAGATTTCACAAAGAATGTGTTACATATCCGAGGTTATATTTCATAGTACATATCGATGACGATAACCTATATGCAAGAGGTCGAGAGAATCTACAAAGGATGTATGACATTTTTAAGGTTGAATGTCAAAGCACTACTTAATGATGATGTGTGACCTATCTAAGATTGAATATCAGAGCACTGCTCGATGACGATAACATGTATGAAAGAGGTTAAGAGAATCCACTAAGGATGTATGACCTATACGAGATTGTATGTCAAAGGACTACTCGATGATGTTAGCCTATATTAAAGATGTTCCTTTCAGTCGAGCTAGCGTCTCTAGCTCCTTAGAGAATACACTAATGGTATATAACCTATCTGAGGTTGTATGTCAGAACACTGCTCGATGATATTAACTTGTATGGAAGAGATCGAGAGAATCCACCAAGGATGTATGCCCTATCCAAGATTGTATGTCAGAGCACTCTCAATGACGATAACCTATATAAAAGAGGTCGATATAATCCACCAAAAATATATGACCTATTTGAGGTTGTATATCAGAGGACTGCTCGATGATGTTAACATATATTGAAGAGGTTGTGAAAGATGTTAAAAGAATTCATCAAAGATATATGCATATCAGAGGTTGTATGTTAGAGATCTGCTCAATGACATTAACCTGAGTTAAAGAGGTCGAATAGACTTCCCTTGGGATCGGATCAATCTTGCCTTAATTGGGAGGGGGCGAATGTCGCGTGTATCCCGAATTAAAGGTAAAGAATAATATACCTTAAAATCATTATTGCCTTTTTTAGATAGAGATTAAGACCTTGCATAAGGAGTATAAGTTTAATTAAGGACTTATGATTTATTAGAAGCATCATTGTATTCACTAGGAGTTTCCTGAAAATAGTTTCCCTAGATATTACCTTGGATGTTGGAAATATTAGATGAATCTTCTTAACCACGATTGTAGTTAAAATGGCCCTCAGTCCACTTTTAATTTCCATAAAATTGATGTAGTAATAGATGATGCCAAGACATTGACATGAACGACCTTTTGATATTGGAATAAAAATCCCCCCTAGTCGGGAATCATGTTCCCAGAGATAATGCCAAATTATTACGTTATGGAATATTCATGGCGATATAGAAGTATAAAGTTTAATGTCTCAGCATTGTATGAAGATCCATCAATCATATGAAAGAGATGGTGTAGTATCATAATAAACACCAGAGTTTTTACATGAAAACCTCTAAAAAAGGGGAAAAACCATGAGGCCTGGCCCAGTTTGAATGAACCCACTATTATTTGCAGTTTATTACAAATGAGGCCTATCATTGGGGGAAGACCTTGAGTTAATGTAACAAATGTATATCATATTAAATGGTGGTAATCAGAAGAATTAATATTGAAATATTCGTTTAGTCGACAGAACCATAGTCGGCGGGCGACGGAGGTTAGAAAGATCTTAGTCTGGTGATAGTGGTCGGAAGGGTCGTAGTCTGGCGAGGGAGGTCGGAAGGACCAAAGATGATAAGAGATAGTGGTAAGAAATATTGTAATATGGCGAGAGAGTTGGAAGGATCATAGTTGGTAGGAGATAGTGGTCAGAAAGATCATTTTCTGGCGATGGAGGTCAAAAGAACCGTAGTAGGCAACACATGTTAAAGGACTGTAGTCGACAGAAGAAAGGATCAGAAAAACCATTTTTTAGTGATGGATGTTGGAAGGACTGTAGTAGGCGACGAAGATTGGAAGGACTAGTTGGTAGGAGACAGAGGTCAGAAAATTCATTGTCATAAGGCGATGGTCCGGCGGAAGTCCGGGCATTATTCGATGGTCTGGCGAAACTTCTAATATTATTCAATGGTTTGGCGGAACTCCGAGCGTCAAGTGGTGGTCCGACGAAACTCTAGGCGTTAGGTGGGGGTCCAGCGGAACTCCATCGCCAGGTGGTGGTATGGCAGAACTCTGAGCATTAGGTGGTGGTCTGGCAAAATTTCGGGCGTGAGGTGGTAGTCTGATGGAACTCCAGTGTAAGGTGGTGGTATGGCAAAACTCAGGACATTATATGGTTGTCCGTCAGAACTCCAGGCATTATGTGGTGGTCCGACATAACTCCGAGCATCAGGTGGTTGTCAAGCAGAACTCTGGGCATTAGGTGGTGGTCCGGCGAAACTCCGAGCGTTAAGTTGTGGTATGGCGGAACTCCAGTCATCAGGTAGTGGTCTGACGGAACTCCGAGTGTTAGGAGGTGGTCTGGCGAAACTCCGACATCAGGTGTTGGTTCGGCAAAACTCTGGGCGCCTGGTGGTGGTCCAGTAGAACTCTGGGCATCAGGTGGTGGTCCAGCGGAACTCCAGGCATTAGGTGGTGGTCCGGCAATACTCTGGGCGCTAGGTGGTGATCTAGTAGAACTTCGAGCATGAGGTATTGGTTCGGCGAAACCTTGGGCATTAGGTGGTGGTTCGACGAAACTCCTGGCATCAGGTGGCGGTCCGGCGAAAGTCCGGGCGGTGGTCGAGGAGGAGCTAGGGGAAAAGAGCGATCTCCGATATCTCTCTTGCTCTCTTGCTTGGGGCCCCTTTTCATGATATTGGGGGGACTCTATTTATAATTTTCTAGAGTGGCATGGCCCGTAAATAGGATGAAGATCAAGGGTAAATGTGGAGTAGTTTGGATGGCCGATCGATAATGAATCCCTTGATCATGGACCATTTACTGGGCATTTGAATTTCTTAGCGATATCAAAATTTAGTGATTTTGGACTCGTTGGATTTGTTTCATCGAGCCACTCGATTTGACTATAAGCTTATCATGTTTGAAAATCGTTTGATAATCCAAATTGCGGTTGAACCTTCTAATAATCTTGGAGTCCTTGATTTGAACTCATTTGGGCTCAGATTGAGTCGATTTTGGCGTTGTTGGGTTCATAGTTATTGGGTTCGTAGTTCTGAGAGACTTAGTTTTGACTATAAGTTTGCGGAGTTCGAATGGTCCCAATTTTAATTTTGAAAATTTCCAACTTAATTTTGCATTGACATTCGCTCCTAATCAAGATAATTTTTTGATGATGAATCAATGCTATTATTTCTTTTATGCACTGAAAAAGTAAAATAAAATATTATTTTTCTTATGATTATTGAGTACTCATCGTTAGAGAATCTTCTGATAATAGAAGATATAGTGATGGGGCCATACTTGGAATATAGCATTTAAGATTAATTAATGTAATTTAACGGCTACTTTGCTTGGCTTTCTATGATAGAGATTGAAAAAGATAATATATTAACATAAACACGCAATACAAAATAGACATAGATTCAATAAATTAATAAGTTCAAGTTTAGAAAATACTTAAACTTGCATGGAATTACATCAATGCCATTGAGAGTCAAGCTTCTTATCATTATTTAAATTCAAATTTGATCACTCATGCATAATTTGATTTTTTAGATACTTTATAGATGCAAATTTCTTGCATGCATTTCTCTTGAGCATATTACGAATTCATTTTGATAGATCAATGAGAGCTTATCTTGGAATATGTTATGGGAGGATTATAAATACACAGCTGAGATGGAAGCTTTCTGAGATGAGATACGATTTTCGCTCAATTTTAGTAATTGCAGGGCATCAATCAGGTTTCATGAAGTGACGTGCCTTGACGATATTGAGACTTCTTTAGTTATAATATATTTCCCTTTGGGAAGCCCTATACTGAGTGGCATGATTGGATCATTATAAACACATTTGTACTATACTTTTTAATAGAAATTGAATTGATTTGTCAACCCCTCCTAATTAAGTTAATTATTTTTTATCTTCTTCAACAATACTATTAGATAGCTAAAAATTGATATGTTGCAATTAATTCATCTAAGATATTTGCAACTTGATTGTAGGACTAAATATAAACAAAATTCCATAAATCTTTTTTGGCCATTTAATCATGAACTAAATGGTATCCAATGATAATGAATTTTATTATTTTAGAACTTTTTTTTTTTAATTATGAAGCATAATCATTCTTAAAGATCAATTTATGATGTGGAATATTATATATGTAGAGGCATTAAGCATAATCATTCTTACAATCATGAATTATTCAGCTCAACCTGTGATACTATTGAGTAATTGTATCTGATTACTTGTATATTTGATGGTAGAGTAAATCTATAGACTTAAAGCTAGTAATAAATAAAATTATAAACTTTAATAAAATTCTAATAATTCACTTAGTATTATATAAATCATTTGATGAAATTTATACATCTAGATATTTGTTTATTTCATCTTGCTTATACCATTAACAATATAAATAAATAATTAAACTATTATTTAAAAGTCATTTTATTAAATTCTTCACTAGCTACTTTTTTTTTGTGGGAATGGGAAATCCATCCACTGCCACCCCTGAAAGGGCGCTTGACAGCATAATTAATCATCGACTAATCTAGAAGAGGCACCCACATCATAAACCTCCTGGCCCGCACTTGATTGAGCCTCATTTAAGAGGTGCTGACGCTTGAGGAAAATCGAACACGAGTTGAGAATTTCCCATCGTACTTGCCCACCAACCAAGCTAACAAGCTACTTATTAAACAACAAACAAATGTGCTCATAACATAAATGAATAAACAAATTCATATTCAAGTTTATTCATTTAAACGAAGAGCTTTAAAAATTTCATTCAAGCTTTAAATAAATGAAACTAAACAACCCTTATACAAGCAAATATCAAGTTGTTCGACAAATGTACCGATCCTCTAACAAACCTAATTAAAAAACTCCCATATAAAACATAAGAAAATATTCATTCAAAGCTATAATATCTTATTTCGACATGGAAAAAAAAATTGCTAGAATATCATCATACAAATTGTATAATAATGAATTTAATAATTATTATATATTCTTTAAGATTAGTGATGAGGCTAATCTCAAAGTGTATCAAATAATTATTAAATTCAATATAATATAATTCATATTAAAAAATTCTAACATTTTTTTCTTCTGTGATATCATTATAATTTTCCTCCACCTCCTAAAACTGGATTAATTATTAAGTGCGGACGTCGAACACCGTCTGGAAATCAATAAGAATGTGCCACGTTACTCCCTTACGAATTACCGCTGCTCGATACTACTAACGTGATGCATTCTGATTGATCAACACTGTCCGAATACCGCACATAATAATTTCTCCTAACACTGAAGAATCAGAATTGGTAGAACAGGTCCTTGAACCGTGCCATGTGTTCCGCCTGCAGCGAAATGGCAACCTTGAGACTGCCATCGGCGGCCGCGCTGGGCAGAACAAACGAAAGGCCTTCGTAGGCAATCCCTCCCGGACCCATAAATATCGGTTTTCCCCACCCGAAATCCGCTTCGTGGATAGGCAAACTCACCCAGCTCGTAATCCCGATGTTCGGGCACCTGAAGGTGTGCGCGCCTCTCACTAACGCCGTTAAATCCGGCTGAACCTCCAAGTAATCTAACGCCGACCTCAAATACTCCGGGTTCATGCGCCCTAACGCCGCCTGTATTATCCCCGCGGCGTCGCCCATCTCACCGGCCGTCGCTAACGGCGTCGCCGTGAATATAACGTTTCCGAAATAGCCATCTGGAAGCAAGGGCTGAAGCCGCTTGCGGCCGTCGGTGGCGATGTAGAGTTTGGAGAGTTGGTTGGGAGGGAGAGCACGTGCGGCGCAAGCGCAGCGCCACACGTGCGCGGCGATGAGGGAGTAGGAGCTGAAGCGGGGGTTGGAGTTGGTGGTGGCGGTTTTTGATTTGAGGAGGTTGAGATGGGTGCGGCTGACGTGGAAGATGTTGACGGCGGTGGAGGAAGGGGTGGCGGTGGGGGTGGGGGTGGACAATGGAGGGAGGGGGTGGTATTCGATGTGGGGAAGGTGGGGGGGGGGGTTGCGGCGCGGAGGAGGTGCGATCGATGAAGGGGGAGGGAGATGCCCGAGACCGCGCGTCACGTCGGACCAGGAATTGATGAAGTGGATGCCGGAGTAGCCGTCGGCCACGTGGTGTTGCATGCCGACGCCGAGAGACGCGCCGCCGCACTTGAAGTAGGTAATCTGCGACCATGCGGATACAGTCAATGGCGGATTAAAAATCCTTTTCAAATCAGTTTACTCCGCATGAACAAAATTAAATTTTTATTTTATTTTATTTTATATCCATGGAGATTATACTTCATGATAAATATCTTCATTTTTTTAAATTTATTTGTAAATTAAAATGATTTAATATTTGGAAAGCAAAATGAAATTAAAACTTTGTTACAGTATAAGAGAATGGAAGTCAATTTTTCAATTGTGAATCAGCCAAGAAAGTCAAGAAATGCAACTTGGAGGGAGGAGACGACAAATTCCAAATCCAATTCCAATGGGATGGGAATCAACAAATACAATAGTTTCAACACTTCATGATGAGGTAATAATCAGGATGAGAGATTATTACCTGTGGAGTCCAGATGTATCCGGAGGACAATTTGGAAATGCCACATACATTGGGTGATGTGGTGATTCCGAATTGACCTCCAGACACATCCGCACACAGCACGTAGTAATTTTTCCTTTATGACAGTAGTTTTTTTATTAAAAAAGTTTTTTTTTTTTTTACATTTAGGCAAATTAAGTAGACTCACACACATCGCATACACAAGGCTCGAACCCAAGACCCCTTACTATTTCTTAAAGCAGTTTTTTAATACAAATTTTTTAATTTTTATTCTAGAAAGCTACTTTAAAAAATATTAAGAAAGCTTTCCTTACAGAAGCCTAAATCCAATGCATTTTAATTGTTGGATCACTTTTGTATCCAAGTTAAGGACTGAACCTGAGAAGTGAATCCCAGAATCTTGAATGTAAAATGAATTACTTTTTAAATTGAAAAACAATTGACTTAAAATCACAGTGCCATATTGATTTGGATCTAAAGAAAACCTAGACACAATCTCTATACTTTGGGTGGCACTATTGACAACAAAAATTGAATCTGTGATTGCTATTAAAACTAGCAAAGAGATGATGTAAATGAAAGAAAATTGCTCTCCTGTGATGAGATAAATTTAGGTGTTCAAGGCTGGAGAAAGTGAAGGTTGAGAAAGAACTGTACTTCGAATACTCTATGAAGAGGAAGAGGTAAAATCTTCTCTCTCTTCATGTCCAACCCCAGCTTTATAATATGAGGTTGTATTCTCTCTTAGATATTGATATGAATAAAATAATATCAGTTTTTTTTTTTCTAATTTTTATTTTTAAAATTCTATTTCAAAAAGACAAAAATATGTTTGATTATTTATTTTATTTTTTAAAAAACAAAATTACTTGTTTAAAATATACCAAAAAATAGCTTTTAAATGTTCTTCAACAACAACAACAACAACAACATCAAGCCTTTATCCCACTACGTGGGGTCGGCTACATGAATCTTTTTTCTCCATTGTGTCCTATTAAAAGTCAAGTTCTCGTTTAAATCTAATAAAGAAAGGTTTTAAATGTTCTTCATATCTAAAAATAATTTTTTCCCTCCCAACACCTCCACTCAACATTCAACCTCTCAAAGTATCTTCAGATCCCCTCGTCGACGAACACTCAACCACAAATGATGTCTCCTCTACTTCCCTTTCACTCAATCCTTTTAGTTGCCTTATGATGTCTCCTCTACTTCCCTTTCACTCAATCCTTTTAGTCGCCTTACCCTCCCTTTCATCCTCCACATCCATCCCCATCAATGTCCCCCTCAGTTCCTGTGCTAGAACATTTGAGGCAGTAAAGAGAAAGTGTTTAACATCATACTTTTGTACAAAGATCTAGCACTCACACAGATAAAAGAGGAATTATAAGAAACACCAGATTTTTACGTGAAAATCTTGAAAAAGGAAAAATCATAGGGTTTGACCAAATTAAAAAAATTTTAATAATATATGTCATCAATTCTAAATGATGCCCTTCCCCATAATGAAAAAAAAAGTATTGATATAATATAGTAGAGCCAGAATATAGTGTTGGTATAGTGGTCAAGTCGTATGGTGGTAATAAGAATGATGTGGCTTGTTGGTTATAATTGGACGATAGTTGTCTAATGATGCTTTGTGATTCTTCAAATGTCTGAGCTCTCAAGTTTAGGGGTCTTCTTCAAACATTAATGGTTGGGGTCTCCTCATTGACAACATGTTTGGCTTCAAAAAATTCTAAATGATGTCCTTCCCCATAATGAAAAAAAAAAAATTATTGATATAATATAGTAGAGCCAGGATATAGTGTTGGTATAGTGGTCAAGTCGTATGGTGGTAATAAGAATGATGTGGCTTGTTGGTTATAATTGGACGATAGTTGTCTAATGATGCTTTGTGATTCTTCAAATGTCTGAGCTCTCAAGTTTAGGGGTCTTCTTCAAACATTAATGGTTGGGGTCTCTTCATTGACAACATGTTTGGCTTCAAAAATGATGGGGCTTTGGCTACATTAACATGTGTCGAAGAGGTCGAGAGAATCCATCAAGAATGTGTGACATAACCGAGGTTGTACGTCAGAGCGCTGCTCAATGATGTTTAACCTGTGTGGACGAGGTCGAGAGAATCCACCAAGAATGCATGGCTTATCCGATGTTATATATCAGAGCGCTGCTCGATGACGTTAACTTGTGTGGAAGAGGTTGAATTGAATCCTCCTGTGATTGATTTTTTCTTGATTGGGAGGGGGCAAATGTCGCGTATATCCCGAATCAAGGGTGAAGAATGATCTATATTTAGACCATTACTGCCTTTTTAAGGTTGAGATTAAGATGTTTCTCAAAAAAAAAAAAGGTTGAGATTAAAACATTGCCCAAGAAGTAGAAGTTCAGCTAGGGACTATATGGGGCTTAAAATTTATTGGAAACATCTTTGAATTTACTTAGAGTTTCATGAAATATCATTTTGATATTGAAAGCATTGGAGAAATATTCTTGGCCACAGTTGGAGTCAAGGTTGCCCCCCAGTCTGCATCTGATTTCCACAAAATTGATGCAGAAATAACTGATGTCAGGGTGTTTATATGAACGATCTTTAGAGATTGGAGCAATAATTGCCCCTAGTCCACATTTAATTCCCATAAAATTGATGCAGTAATGATTGATGTCAAGATGTTGACATGAACGATTTTCACATATTGGAGCAAAAATTACCCCCACTTAAGAAAGATGTTTCCACATACGACACCAAACTGTTACGTCCTAGAATATTCGTTGCGGTAGAGAAATATAAAATTTAATGTCTTAGCTTTGTACGAAGATCCAACACACAAGCAAATAAAAGATAGGGTGTATCGTCATAAGAAACACTAGCGTTTTTATGTGGAAACCCCTGAAAAAGGGGGAAAAATCATGGGTCTTAACCCAGTTTGAATGAATCCACTATTACTTGTAGTCGATTACAAATGAGACCCTTCCTTGGGAGGAAGGCCTTGGGTTAATATAGCAAATATATACATCATATTACAGGGTGGGAATTAGAAGAATTAGTATTGAAATGTTCATTTGATTGGCAATACCAAAGTCGACGGGCGATGGAGGTCAGAAAGATCGGGTCGGGTGATAGTGGTCGGAATGACCGTTGTCTGACGAGGGATGTTAGAAGGACCGTAGTAGGCGACGAAGGTCGGAAGGAACGTAGTCTTCAGGAGATAGGAGTGAGAAAGACCATTGTCTGACGATGGAGGTCTGAAAGACCATAGTAGGCGATAGAGATCGGAAGGACCGTGGTCGGTAGGAGATAAGGGTCAGAAAGACCGTTATCTGGCGATGTAGGTCGGAAGGACCGTAGTTGGCGATGGAGGTTGGAAGGACTGTAGTCAGCAGGAGGGGTCAGAAAGACCATTGTCTGGCAATGGAGGTCAGAAGGACCGTAGTAGGCGACAAAGGTCGGAAGGACCGTAGTCGGCAAGAGACAGTGTTCATAAAGACCGTTGTTTGGCGGTGGAGGTCATAAGGATCGTAATAAGCGATAGAGATTGAAAGGACCGAAGTCGACAGGAGACAAGGGTAAGAAAGACCGTTGTCTGGCAATGTATATTGGAAGGACCGTAGTAGGTGATGAAGGTCAGAAGAACTATAATCGGCAGGAGACAGGGGTCAGAATGACCGTTGTCTGGCGGAGGAGGTCGGAAGGATCGTAGTCGGCAGGAGACAAATGTAAGAAACTACGTTGTCTGACGATGGTGGTCGGAAGGACCGTAGTAGGCGATAGAGATCGGAAGGACCGTAATCGGTAGAAGACAAGGGTCAGAAAGACCATTGTCGTAAGGCGGTGGTCCGGCGGAATTCCGACGTTAGGTGGTGGTCCGATAGATGTTCGAGCGTCAGGTGGTGGTCCGGTGGAATTTCAGGCATAAGGTGGTGGTTTGGTGGAACTCCGAGCATCAGGTGGTGGTCTGCGAAACAACGATATCAGGTGGTTGTTCGGTAGAACTCCGGACGTCAGGTGGTGGTCCAGTGGAACTCCGAGCATCAGTGGTGGTCTGACAGAACACTGACGTCAGCTGGTAGTCCTGTGAAACTTCGACCAAACTCCGGTAGTCAGGTGGTGGTCCGGTGGACCTACGACTTTAGGTGGTGGTCCGGTGGAACTCAGGGCGGTGATCGAGGAAGAGCTAAGTGGAAAGAGCGATCTCCGATCTTTCTCTTACTCTCTTACTTGGGATCCCCCCACTTCACAAGAGGAATGAGTGGCTCTATTTATAGATTTATGAGAGTGACATGACCCGTAAATAAGATGAAGACCAAGTGTAAATGAGGAGTGGTTTGGATGGACGACCGATGTTAAATCCCTTAATCGTGGACCGTTCGCTAGTCATTTGAAGGACTTAATGATGTCATAATTCTATGATATTGGGCTCGTTGAATTCGTCTAGTTGAGCTGCTTGATTCGACTACCAGCATGTCATGTTTGGAAACTATTTGGTAATCCAAATTGTGGTATGAACCTTCCAACAGCGCTTCGGGTCATTGATTTGGACTCATTTGGGTTCAGATTGAGTCGAATTTGGTGTCGTTGGGTTCGTATTCTTGAGGCATTCAAGTCAAGTGTAAGTTT